GATGTCACAGGGAGATCTCACGATTAACACACACAAAGGAATATTTACATTCAAGAGATGTAATGTAATATAATCTTTATTGAAACGCGATCAATTCCTCGGCCCATAAAAATACATATCACATACGGTAAGATATTTAAAATTCAAACTGCATATTATAACACTAAAAGCTGTTTTCCGTGAATGCCTTGTGTTAGACTTAAAGAATGTCATTGATCTTACGTTTAAATACCCCCAGAGACTCTGTCTTCCTTATATCGCATGGTAGACTGTTCCACAATGTGGCGCCATTGTAGCTAAAGCTTTTTCTGTAATAATTAGTGCGCGGTAATGGAACATGAAGCTTATTTTCAGAATCCCTGAGGTCATAAGCAGAGTCACGCCACGTAAACTTTGAATACAGATGCTCTGGAGCTAGCCCGTGCAGACAAGTAAACATCATGGTGGCTTTATGAAGTTCCTGCAGGTGTGCAAGATTTTTCCACCCTAAAAACTCGAGTAGCTCAGTTGCATCAGTATCATAATTAGACCGAATGTCAACACAGGGGCTGCTCTATTCTGCAATTTCTGCAGTTTGTCTCGTAGCGTTTTCCCACAGCTACCCCAAACAATGTCACAGTAATCAAAGTAAGGTTTTACTAAAGCTTGGTAAATGAGGTGTAAGGTTGATGCTGGGATCAGATGCCTAATTCGCTTTACGGCCCCGATACCAGAGGCGATCTTTTTCGTTGATTTTTCGATGTGACTATGCCATTCGAGTTTATCGTCTATTATTACACCAAGCGATTTTGTAGCTGTAGCCTGGCTCACTTGAATATTGCTCATTGTAATTTTTGGTGAAGCTGTGAGAGTATTCAGTCTTTGCCTCGACCCTATTAGCATGAATTCGGTTTTGTAGCCAGTCGAAAACGTTTGCTAGGTCTTCATTTAGACAAAACTGAACATTCTCAAGATTGCTGCCCGCATATGTGAGGTGCATGTCCTCAGCATACATTCTCAGTTTACAATTTGATAAGCAATTTGGAAGATCGTTGATATATAATAAGAACAATACCGAGAAACGAGAAAGGTCCCTAGAGGGACACCGCATGTCAATGAGTAGCTATTGGATAGCGACCCGTTCACAGGGCATTTTTGTGTGCGGTTTTCCACACATGACTGAAACCATTTGAAAGATTTGCCATGTATACCATAATAGTTTAGTTTCGATAGAAGGATCTGATGATCAACCGTTTGAAATCTAGAAAAATGACTCCATTGATTTTCCCGTTATCAATATTATATGCCCAAGGATCTGTCGCTTCCAACAAAGCTGTTACAGTTGAATGATTAACACGAAACCCTGATTGGTTTTGACATAGAATATCGCGCTCTTCCAAATAGGCATGTAGCTGTTCATAAAGAGTATCCTTTCAAACACCTTTGCCACTATTGAAATCACCGATATTGGGCGGTAGTTGTTAACATCACCGCGGTCACCCTGTTTATAAAGAGGGATAACCCTTGCATATTTCCAGTTATCTGGGAACGTTCCTTGGCTAATAGATTGATTGAAAATATCACATATCGGCGCACAGATAAGATCAGCAAATTCCCTGATAAATCTAGCAGATATTTTGTCAGGGCCCGTTGCCTTTGACTTGTCTAGTTTATTTAAAAGTGAAAATACTTTATTTAGATTGGATGATTGGAGCTTAAACCGTTTATCTGTAGCGGTAAGATCTTTGATATCTATCACTATCACTATTTATCTCACTGACAAGTTTTGGACCAATATTAGCAAAGTGGTTATTGAATTCGTTTGATAGCTCCAACGGATTAGTTACCATTAATCCGTTGACTTTTATTGACGCCACTGGCGTTTTCTAGATTTTCGAGAAGTTAGCTCGTGTATAGTCTGCCAGGTCTTTCGGGAGTCGCTGGTAGTTGCTTATTGACTATACTTCTTTGTTTCTTGAATACTTCCCAATCGTTAGGATCTTTGTCGTGCTAGCTTTCATTTTTAATATGTCTCTATTATGCATAAGGTCTTTCAATTCAGAGGTAATCCACGGAGAACTCCGTGAGCGAACGCGCATCGTTTTCAGTGGGGCATGTTTGTCAGCGATTGCCAGAAATGTACATTTCCATTGCTGGCATCACGTTTGGGTTGGAAAACTCGTATACATTATCCCGAAATTGAGATAGAATATCATAACGAAACTTTTGGCGATCGAAATTTCGGAAATTTCTATATGTAATAGAATTATACGTATGATGCACGATCCTCGCAGTAGATAGCGCCATTTAAGCAATAGCGAAAATCAGACCTGAAAAAAATCAGGCCTGTACGGGATTCGAACCACTGATTCGAACCACTGATTCGAACCACTGTCCGTTAGACGTCCCATTCAGGGCAAGATTTCTACATACATACACCATGCTATCATCACTTATCCCGATATGACAAACTCCCGAGCATGCAATCCTATCCGAACAGTTGGTATAGATTAAATCAATTAGAGTTGATGGGGTGGGTGTTATCTTCGTCGGTTCAGAGATGAGCTGCTCGAGTCCGTAGACATCAGCAATACTCCTTAATTTGGACGTGTCATTGTCATATCGAGTAGTGATCATGTCACAGTTCATGTCTCCGAGTACAAAAAATTCTACATTTTCACTATCCAATTTCCCAATTAGGGATTCAAAAAGTGAAAAAAGGCCAATAGGAGAGTCAGGTGGTCTGTACCAAGTAACAATCACAAAAGATTTTGAATTTGGCTTATGGATTTCCAAGCAAAGATTTTCTAGTGCATCCATAATTAGGTCATTTCGTACTGTGAAGTTGATTGAAGTTTTTACATAGAAGCATACCCCTCCGCCGCATTTTGTAAGTTTATCGCGGCGAATTATTTGGTATCCCGGAATATGAACTGATACTGAGTTCACAAACACTGGTGCATTATGATCACACGTTACCTCTCTATCTTTCATGTGATGCTTCATCTTATGGTGCTGGTCCTGTCCTGTCTCATAAAATGAATGAGCAATTTCGACCTGTGGCCTTTGCTTCATGTTCCCTGACTTCCGCTCAGAAAACTTACTCCCAAATAGAAAAGGAGGTATTCAGCATAATTTTTGGATTGAAACGATTCCGCCAGTATCTGTATGGTCGCTCGTTCGTAATTTTAACCGATCATCGACCCTTGCCCTCTCTGTTCGGGCCAAAGAATCCAGTACCTTCACATGCCGCAGCTCGAATCCAAAGATGAGCACTGATCCTTGCATCATACAACTACAACAGTGAGTATCGCAGCACCTCAGCACATGCTGATGCTGACAGCATGTCCCGTCTTCCATTACCTCAGACTTGGTCTCCAAAATGCGAAATTGTTGAGTGCCACTTCTTGGAGCCAGAAACTGTGGCTACTTTGACCAGTCAGATGATCCCGAAGGAGACTCGAGTGGATCCTATTTTATCCTAAGTATACGGTTTTATCATTGGCCGGGTGGCCAACTGTGGTGGTGGATCCTAGCTTTGCACCATTTAAGAGCAAACGTGGCGAAATGACCACTCAACAAGGCTGCATATTATGGAGCACTTGTGTTGTTGTTCCCTCTTCACTTCAAGAGAAGGTCTTTCAGGAATTACATGACATTCATCCTGGGATGTCGAGAATGAAAGCCTTGGCAAAATCTTATGTTTGGCGGCCCAATATTGATTCCCACATTGAGAGAACTTTTCTTCCTGCAACACTTGCCAGTCTATGAGATCTGCACTTCCAACAGCACAAAGTCATCCCTGGATTATCCCAGCGCGACCCTGGTCCCACATTCATGTGGACTTTGCTGGTCCAATTTCTGGTTTTATGTACATGGTTGTTGTTGATGCCTGCAGTAAAATCCCAGAGGTCGTGTCATGGAAGCATTCAAAAGAGTTAACTTCGAATTATGTAATGCATTATTTTACTCTCTTAGGATATGTCTAATGTGTGGTGTTTGTATCTATCACGTAATTCGCATTCTTTACTTGTGTAATTAATCTTTATCCCCTATATTCAATAGTCTTCTTCCTTTTTTTCTCGCACCTTGCGTCCGTACATAAGGAAGGATTTGGGCACGGTTACGAAGTGAGGTGAAGGTTTGTGAGTTACGAGCGAAGAGCGTGGATAAATTTGAGGGAACGATGACTCGGCAAAATATCATTTCTGACAAATTCATTCAGACAAATCGTTCCACTTCACGGTAGAAAACCATTTCCGTGAAACGGGTGTGCAAAGAATTTACCAGATTGTGAGCTAAAGGAAGAAGAGATAGTAACTGATTCAACAAGAAGTCTGAGCGAGTCAAGTTGCGAGAAGTTTGAGCGAACCAAATTACCAGAAGTAAAAAGTTGAAAACTGCAAAGTTGTCAGAAGACGAAGTAAAGTTGAAACGAAGGAAACGAGTAAAGTCGAGAACTGGTGAGACGGGAACCTGATTGGAGAAACTGGAGTTTGGTTTGGCAGGGCACCGTTTGTTGGTGGAGCGTGGTGAGTTGTGGACAAGACAAGAACACGGACGCGGGCGTAAGGTGAAATCTAACCAAACTGAACTAAAAAAGAAACCCTACCTTTTTATCTTAATAATACTCTTGTAAATATAGTTAGCACCTTCTAGTTTTAAATTATTACGTTCTTGTAAATTCTTATAAAGTAACTTGGGTAAATAATTTAGCAGTTTAGTTTTATTGTATTATTGTAATTAGGGTAAATAATTTAGTTAATTTTTGTTGTTGTTGTTTGTAACTGTTAATTACCATATTGTCCTACTTAGAGAAATACATATTTCTAGGCCTACGTTTAGTTGTGTTGTGGCGTGTCTTCTCGGGGCTGTTTGTGTTTTGTGTTTTGTGTATGTTGGAGGGAACCCACCTTTGTGGCGCGGATTCGTCACATATTTTTAGTGTCAGGAACGGGATTGCTCTCTAGCAATTTGCATGAACAGCCCAACAGAAGATACGCAAATTTAATAGTAGAGATATGGACACTGCAGCGATCAACTATGATTCTTGGTCCTTGAAAAATCTTAGAGGTGATGCTACCAAGCTAGGTATTTGTTTTTCCTCTAAGGATGGTGTTAAGACTTTAGCGAGGAAACTCAGAACGTCAGATCGCATAGGTGAGAGTTTCGATGCGCAAGAAGGAGAAAACCTTGCGGAGGCGACTTTGGAAACTAGTCTTAGTTTTGAGCAGAGATTTCAGTTACAAGAGCGAGAGCTGCAGATGTTAGAACTGCGGAAGAGAATTAGTCAGGAACACAGAGAAATTGGAGAGTTGGAAAGGGAGGTGGAGAGAGAAAGGCGCAAGGCTGAAAGGGAGTTAGAGAGGGAGAGAAGGGAGTTTGAAACTCAAAAAGCCCAAGAAGAAGAAAGGCGTTTGGTACGAGAGGAGGAGAGACTCAGAAACCTTAGAGCTGAAAAGGAAGAATTTTCTGTAAGAGAGTCTGAAAGGAAACAGGTAAGTGACAATGAGGTTAAAAGGCCCAAGTTTATCAAAATCAGGTAAATGAGGGAGAGTGAAGATATAGATGATTATTTTTTGAATTTTTGAAATGACTGCAAGGGCGCAATCCCTACCCGAGGGGGAATGGGTTGATAATTTAGTACCTAAGCTCACTGAAAAGGCTAAGTCAATTTATATAGAAATCCCAAACCCTGCATGCCAGGATTACCACGAGAGTAAGGCAAGCATTATTAAAGCCTACCAGCTGATGACTATAGATATTGGGTTCGAGCCTCGGAGAAAAATCCCGACGAGGACTTCGTTCAGTGGGGAAATAGAACCCGAAGATATCTCAGCTACTGGATGGCCGTTGCCGAGGCTACTGGGGATGCGGATAAGACAATTGAACAGGTTTTGATGGAGCGACTTCTTGATGCGGTAAGTCCTGAGCTTAGAGCTTGGTTAAAGGAGCAAAAGCCCAAAACTGCTGAAGAACTTGGCAACCTTGCTAATTTACATGTTCAATCTAGGAAAGGGCCACTTGTTGAGGGGAAGTATGTGTCAACTGCTATTAACGAGACATTTTGGAAAAAGAAGGAGCCAGATGGTAAGGCGGATAATTCATTGTCTGAACAGAAACGAGACCAAAACTTTCTAAGACCACCCAAACCGTCTTCTCCTCCGGCCTGAAGAACCACGAAGCCTGAAATTAGATGTTACAAATGTGGTAAACCGGGTCACACGTCGTTAAATTGTGGTAAGGGCCGTGGGAAGCCTTCATAGGGATACCTCCTGTGTATGACACCCCTAACGACAGAAAAAAAAAACAGTTTCCTCCTTGTAATGCTAGAGGTAAAATAAACGGCAAGATTGCAGAAATGGTCATTGATTCCGGTTGTACTAGGATTCTAGTCCACAAAAGATAGGTAAACAGTACAGCTTTCACTGGGGACAATATCACAGTATTCTGCGATATAGCAGAATACAGCTGCAGGAGAACAGCTTACAGTCCTCCTTGCAAACGTTGAATTTTACAGCAAAGAAGGTGAACATAGAATTAGTGGGAGTGTTGGAGAGGCTACCCGTAGATTGCTTACTTGGCAGGTCGTCTTTTGGACGAAAACTTTCGAGACAAAATGTTTTGGACCAGTGGGAGAGAAATATTTTAGTTGATGATTTGGTGGAGATGAGGCCTTCGTGATGACTAGGAGACAGAAAGCATTACAAGAAGCCCAATTGAAAGCAGACGAGCTAATATACGGTCCAGAGGAAGGAGATTTGCAAATGTTATTTGAGGGCATGGTACAGGAAGAGACCGGTAAGAAGAATCCTAAGAGTGATACTTTGTTAACAGAACCTAGTAAAAGATAAGCTTTCAGTAAACATTCTAGATAGAGACAGAAACCAGCTGATAGCGGATCAGAAGTCAGACGTAACGCTCGAGAAAGTATGCAAGGAATCATCTAAAATGGCAAGAATCGGATGGTTACTTTTTCACTAATGACCTCTTGATGTACCGTAAATATCTGTCAGAAGAACGCAACGGAACAAGGTTTGTTGACCGAATTGTAATACCAGAATCCTATAGGAATGAAATCCTTCGTGTTGGTCACACAATTCCCAAGTCAGGTCATATGGGTAGCAAGAAGACTGTAGAACGCATAGCTGCACATGTTTTCTGGCCTGGTCTAAGCTTTGATGTTCTCAAATATTGCGCAACCTTCCCACAATGCCAGGTAGTAGCCAGAAAATTGAAGTCAAAAAGGGCACCTTCAAGGCCTCTGGAGATTGTTACTGATCCCTTTGAGAAGATTGCCATCGACATTGTAGGCGAGTTTCCTAGAGCAACAACGGATTACAGGTACATTTTAACAATCGTAGACTATGCCACACGGTATCCAGAGGCCATTCCTTTGCGATCAACAAGCTCAAAAGCGGTCGCAGATGCATTGATTCAGTATTTCTCCGGGTATTCCCGATGAGATACTGTCTCACCAGGGCTCCAATTTCGTGAGTAAGCTTATGGCCCAGCTGTATGAGCAATTAGGCTAAGATTAAGACATCAGTATACCACCCTGAGGCAAATGGGTTAGTGGACCGTTTCAATGGCACTTTAAAGAGTATGCCGAAGAAGTTTGTTCGAGAGCGGGTTCAAACCTGGGACAAGTATCTCCCATACTTACTCTTTGCTTATAGAGAGGTTCCTTGTGAGTCCACTGGTTACTCGCCCTTTGAATTACTTTATGGACGTACGGTCAGAGGACCCCTCGCCGTTATCAAGAAGACTTGGTCGGAAGGATCATCTTCAGGAGACAATCTGATAACTCATGTCCTTGAGATCCGAAGAAGACTTGCAACGATGCAACAAGTTGTTCAAGAAAACTTGAAGCAAGCCCAAGGTAAGCAGAAACGGTTGTATGATATTCATAGTTCAAAACGACACTTAGAAGTTGGAGACAAAGCCTTAGTTTTGCTTCCCACCCGTGGGAGTAAATTAGAAATGAGATAGCAAGGACCCTTCAAAGTCGCTAGAGCACTAAAGAACGGATTGAATTATGAACTCGACGCGGGCAAGATGTACAAACAGCATCGCACTTATCACATTAATTTGCTTAGCAAATGGCAGAGCCGTGATGAAATGGCTGCTTTAGTAATTGCGGAGTCCCCAGAGGTGCCACTGCCGCACGAAAGCAATGTTTTCCCATTTGGTCACGATGAGACTTGGAAAGATCTCTAATGATTTGACGGAAGATCAAAGACGACAGGTAAAAAACTTGCTACATGAGTATTCTGATGTTTTTTTCAGGAAAACCAAATTTAACCAATGTAGCGGTGCATAAAATCGATACAGGTGATTCCCCGCCCATCAGGTGCTCCCCTTATAAGGTTCCTCAAACATTTGAGGAGGAGGTTAACAAAGAGATTGAGAAGATGCTGGAATTGGGCATAATACGCCCTTCTACTAGTCCCTGGGCGGCCCCTGTTGTTATTGTTCCCAAACTAGATGGTACAATAAGACTGTGCGTTGATTACAGAAAAATCAATTCTGTCACAAAAATAGATGCTTACCCTATTCCCTCTATGGAACGTATGATTGAAAAGATCGCCTCTGCAAAGTATATTAGTACAATTGATCTCACAAAAGGTTACTGGCAGATTCCCTTGGAGACCTCTACCATTGAAAAGTCTGCATTTATTACTACTAAAGGCCTGTATGAATTTTTGGTTATGCCATTTGGTATGAAAACAGCTCCGGCATCCTTTCAGAGGATGACGTCTGAGAAGGCCTTGCAGGGATTACATTTTGCAGATGCCTACATTGATGATGTCGAGGTTGACACGTCAACATCTTTTCCCCAACACCTTGTTGAGCTCCAACAGGTTTTACAACGTTTACGAGAGTGCAAACTGAATGCTAGACCGTCTAAATGTAAGATTGTAATGTCAACGGTCGTTGGTCACAGAGTTGAAGGCAATAGAATTCAACCCCGCACAGCTTTGGTTGAACCCATTAAAGAATATCCCAGACCAGAAACTAAGAAGCAGGTAAGATCTTTTCTTGGCTTAATCGGGTATTATAGGAAATTTATCCCAAATTTTTCGGAACGGGCTGCTGTTCTTACCGACCTCACTAAGGGCAAAAATCCTTCTAAGGTTCAATGGTGTACTAATCATAAATTAGCTCCTCAGGATTTGAAAGTTGCAATGCAGACTCCCCCTGCTTTGAGGCCACTCCACTGGAATGACGAGTTCATTTTGCAAGTAGATGCGTCAAATAGAGGTCTTGGGGCCATCTTAAGTCGGGAAGATCAGGACGGGGAGGAAAACCCCATAGCGTATGTTAGTAGAAAGTTGCATCCTAGAGAGGAAAAGTTGTCTACCACAGAAAAAGAATGTTTAGGAATTGTTTGGGCTGTAGAGCTATTTCGCTATTATTCATATGGCCGCACTTTTAGGCTGCAAACGGACCACAATCCTCTTGTGTGGTTAAATCGGGTTCGCGACAAGAGTAGGAAACTACTAAGGTGGAGCTTTACCTAACAGGAGTACGACATGAAAATAGAACATAAGAGTGGTAAGCAAAATTGTAACGTAGATGCCCTTAGTAGGGCGTATATACCTTCTATTGCTGCATAGTATACTAAGGTAATTTCATCTTTAAGCACTATTTTCGTGTTTTCACGCTCCCCTAAAGTAGATATTTAAGGGGGGAAGGTGTCATGGAAGCATTCAAAAGAGTTAACTTAGAATTATGTAATGCATTCTTTTACTCTCTTAGGATATGTCTACTGTATGGTATTTGTATCTATCACGTAGTTCGCATTCTTTACTTGTGTAATTAACCTTTATCCTCTATATTCAAACGTTTTCTTCCTTTTTTTCTCGCACCTTGCGTCCGTATATAAGGAAGGATTTGGGCACGGTTACGAAGAAGTGAGGTGAAGGTTTGTGAGTTACGAGCGAAGAGCCTGGAAAAATTCGAGGGAACGGAGACTCGGCACAAGATCATTTCTGACAAATTCATTCAGAAGAATCCTTCCACTTCACGGTAGAAAACCATGTGCCGGGGAACGGGTGTGCAAAGAATCTACCAGACTGTGGGCTAAAGGAAGAAGAGATAGTAACTGATTCAACAAGAAGTCTGAGTGAGTCAAGTTACGAGAACTAAAAAGTTGAAAACTGCAAATTGTGAGAAGACGAAGCAAAGTTGAAACGAAGGATCGAATCGAGCAAAGTTGAGAACTGGTGAGACGGGAACCTGGTTGGAGAAACGGGAGTCTGGTTTGGCAGGGCACCGTTTGTTGGTGGAGCGTGGTGAGTTGTGGACAAGACAAGAACACGGACGCGGGCGTAAGGTGAAACCTAACCGAGCTGAACTGATAAAAAACCCTATCTTTTTATCTTAATAATACTCTTGTAAATATAGTTAGCGCATTCTAGTTTGAAATTATTACGCTCTTGTAAATTCTTGTAAAGTAATTTAGGTAAATAATTTAGCAATTTCGTTTTATTGTATTATTGTAATTATGGTAAATAATTTAGTTTATTGTTTTTTTGTTGTTGCTTGTAACTGTTAATTACCATATTGTCTTACTTAGAGAAGTAAATATTTCTAGGCCTACGTTTAGTTGTGTTGTGGCGCGTCCTCTCGGGCCTGTTTATGTTTTGTGTATGTTGGAGGGCGCCCACCTTTGTTGCGCGGACTCGTCACAGGTTGTTAAGATGACAAATACTACAGCCCGAACAACTATCACTGCATTACGTGATATCTTCAGCAGGCACGGCCTTCCTGAAATACTTGTTTCTGACAATGGAGCTCAGTTTACCGCAAGATAATTTCAACAATTCTGTTCAAACAATGGAATACTTCATCGAACTTCAGCAGCCTATAAGCCTTCCGCCAATGGCCAGGCTGAGCGTGTTATCCAGATTTTGAAGACAGAAATCAAACAAGCTTAGCTGACCAATAGAGATGTGTCTGCTGTTATTGCCTAGTATCTATTGGTTTATCGAAACACCTCACATTCTACTACAGGTGAAGCTCCCTCTCTGCTGCTTATGGGACGGAGACTACGTATTCGCTTAGATTTGCTGATTCCTTCAGTCGGAAAGCACGTTGAAGCTCGTCAGTACAGTTCCATGGTGGATCGCACTGCGAAGAGAGGCCTGTGCCACTTTCATGCAGGTGA